AGGTTTGAGAACGCCTCCACCATCTTTAAATTAGACACCACGTTCGAATGTAGTCTGCTTTTTCAATTTTTAGTTTTAATAAGGCTTTTCTTTGTGTTCGCGAATTTACTTAAATGCTATTTCATACTGATTATCGTACAGCACAATCCCTAAATACTTCGATCGCATAAGGACACCCGCTGTTGCATGCGTTCTCCTCTGACCCCTTGCCTAAACAACACCTGGTAAAATTAACTAATTAATTGGCATGGCGTTTCCATTGTTTTTCTGATAACCATATAAACCCAAAGGTAATTTACAGGGGATAGGCAAAAACATCCATACTTATACCTGCTTTCAGCAAAATATGTCTTTGTTAACTTGTGTACTCAAAGCAAAAGTAGATTTCGGCTTTACAAAGTTTTTAAATTCCACAGCAATTATAAACTCGATCCTGCGTTGTTCTTGCGTCTTTTGCTTTATAAACTCCAATTCTGATGCTTTTTGTGTGGAAAAAATCATACTTTGTTCTATACTATAGAGCTTGTCGAATTTTGCATTCAATGTAGACTGACACTGTATACCTCATAAGGACCATTTATACATTAAGTTATTTGATGTTATTTGAGTAAGCCTTCCATATCTTCAAACAATTTCACCATTACAGACGTTTTCCACTTGTTTGGACAAAGTAATGGCGCCGAAATACGCAGCATCTGCTGACGCCATGAAATTATTTGATCTCTTTCCAAGCGCCATCGTATGAAAAAATCAAATGCTGCGTATTTTGTCGCCATTACGCCATTCACATTTATCCCAAGGAAACAAAGCATTTCAAGTTTCAGATATATCTTGAAGCTGGATTTTGCCTTCTTACTGAAAAGTACATAACTAGTATATTTCTGTAGCAGGCTATAATTCAAATAGTTGAATTCACAGTCACATGCGACACCAGAACTATTATGTTTTTTCATTCATATTTGTCAAACACTCGATCCTGATTGACATTTAGGGCAATTTTTTGTCACGTTTTCTACAAATATGTTTTTTAATTACCCTCCCAGTTATATCTTCATAAAGTGATGACTTATCTCACAAATTCTGCAACAAGCAGGTGTGAACATTAATGAGGTCCTAGACTTCAAAATGTTTTTTCTGCGACAGGAGTCGTTTCATGCTTTGCAGCCGTTCATTATTTGAAAGAATGCCCACCATAAAGGGCTACTTTCATTTATGCACTAGGCGACCTATTCCAGGAAGTGCTGACCAAAGTTCTGTAGTGCCTTTCCGATCAGGAAAGATTGCTTGATCGCAAGTTATCTCCAAAAGTTTAACCTTATTATTTACGTAGCATGAAATTTATCAAGTAGTTTTTAATGTCCCTCTTTGTGTTTCGTCAAACTGTATGCCCGAAGAAGGGATATCTCTAGGTTTTAAGAAGTTGGTTGTCATGATATTTTATTAGGTCTTGAAATGCCAATTTAAGTAACATAACGTTTGTCTGTTCATTAATGCTCCTCGTGAAGTAAAGAGTGGGCAACCTGTATTTTGTATATGACAAACGCAAATCCACAAAATCAGAAATTAGAATCTCTTTCGGAAACTGAAAGCTATCCTCCGTTTGAGTATAACATTTAAGGAAGGAGCAAACTGGTATCAAATTAGCAAAAAAGGATATTTTCTGCCTCTCTCCCAAAAAATATATATGAAGTGTTAAGGCTATCGTAAATAAATCAAAAAGTCCACACTACCTTAGTGTCCGTCTTTTTACCTAATGTGGTTTTTGCGAGCAGCCGAAAGGAAGTGCACTCGGGATTACACTGCAATATGATCGATGCTATAACTCCACTCAAAGCACATTTCAGAATGTCACTAGGTGCGTAGCCTATAAATCTGTTCTTCAATTTTTGTTACGATAAAACAGTTAGAAACTATCAGAATTCTTAATTCATATGATTTCAGGGTTTGTAGTGTCGTAACTATATGAGACGATCATTGAGAGATCGTAAAACATTGTGCCCCAATTCTCGATCAATACGTAAAATAGCGATTTAAATATGTTTTCAGCAATTTAACCCGCTCATCGATTTAATTTCGCTTTTGTCAAGAAGGTCAGAGGGATGTTCTGAACTCCGTCTTTTGTTATCCTAATAGAAAGACTCCTTTAGTAATCATTTTTCCGTATCTGTTAGAGCCACACCGCTAGCATTGTGGCAGGACTTCGAAATCATCAAAGCTAGGATTCTCTAACACATAACCGGCTCGGCTAGATCCCCATTTAAGTCCGTTTTGTCTTCGAAAATCTCAGAGACGTGAATGCAGAGGACGAATCTAAACGCCTGATGATTGAAATGTGGGACTGGGATCGGGCTTCAAGAGACGACTTTATGGGCGCCTTGTCATTTGGCGTTTCTGAAATTATAAAACGACCCGTTGACTGCTGGTTCAGGTTACTCAGTCGAGAAGAAGGTGAATTCTACTCAATCCCCTGCACAGACGAGGCCTCCAGGTACTTCGGCTCCGGTAATTCGAATTGTATGGTAAGTCTTCTAGAGCCGAATCAAGCTGTTTTATTCTGCTAAGGTAGATGGTCGTTCAAACCTAGAAGTTAAAAAAAAATTGGATTACCAAAGATGAAGTTATTTAAAATTCTAGTCTTTATTTTCAACTCAGATGACAGTTTGAACACTGGTCTCAACGAGATCCATCGTGTCTCCACAGCAGACTAAAAGCAATTTACGACGACTTGTGCGTGAATTAGCCCATAATGGTGGTAGACTTGCGTAGCATCTACTGCACTCTCCTCCCCACCCGTGCCGGTGTCAGGATATGGCCGAAAAGACCGGAGGCGGGAGAGGACGTGAGCGATTGACACGGTGAATGAGACCGCGCCTTGGCGTACGATCACATCCCCTGCTCCACAGCACACTCTGATCAGGATTTTATACACCTAGGAAAGCGACAAGAAGACTGGTCGGAACCGAAATCGGCGCTGCCGAGATTGCGCCTAGGCGTGCTACCATGCCCGGTTCAGATCCCACGGAGTGGGAGTGTCATACGGCCTGACTCTCAGACCACCAGCCGGCCACTCCACACAAGCACACAACACTGGGCCGACTGCGAGGTCCAAGCTTTCCCGTCAGTTGGCAGTCCTCCATGCCAGATCAGAAAGAGAAGGATGACACAGGTCGCTGCCCGACCATGCACACGACCTGTATACCCAGCGTGAGCGCAAGCTCATGCACCGGCCAAGAATCAGGTGCCAGAGAACCGTCAGCCCACACCAGACTGTGAGAGCCACGGTTTGCTGAGGCGTGGCATAGCGAACGCACACAATCCCCAAAGCTCACAATTAAGCTCAGATATAAATAGAACATAAGCCCTGCAGTCCTGACGTTAAACAGTAATAGCTCCTTCCATTACGTAATTATCAGGGGCTGATTGACAGATACTTCTTAATAGGTACCAGGGCTTAAACTCTCTTTTCCTGAGAAAGGCAGAAAGCACGCAAGTTTGACCATTAAGCCAAAACAACAAAGACTCCTGTCACGAGATTGAGAAACAGCAGTTGATATGACGTCTGCTGAAAATGTCTACCACCAGATGCAGTCTTAGTCGCTGAGGTAGCACGATTTAGACAGGAAGCATTTTCAACACACGTACAGGTTTTGCTTTTGCATTTAGGCGTCGCCCATTGAGCGGAGTGGAGGCAGCCTGGAGGCGATTCGGATTCGGAGCAAACAGGACACACTTCGCATTTCAGACTTCAAATTCCTCCGGTTACTTGGCCGGGGCAGTTTTGGAAAGGTAAGTTGAAGAAAAAAAATTGCAAAAAGGAGAGTTATTTTGGTGGAAACTAGTCGATAAAATGGGCTTCGGTTAGCCTTTTGTAAGTGGAATCGGATAATGCCACTTAGAATACGAAATACTGCGATTTGAATCGAGAGCATGGGTATGGTATGTAACCCTCTTGGGGAGACCGTAGTTAGCTCTAACCGCGGCCATACCTGCAATAGGAAGTTTATAACCCGTAGGCATTTAACGAAAACTCAGACGTAACCGTAACCCTAAGGTAAGCCCCTAAACCTTAACCCTAACCCTAACCCTAAATCCAACACGTAGCCTAAGCCTGGCGACCCTGATTCCAGGAATAACCCAACTAACGCCGATTCTAACCTTTGTCAAAACCCTAACCCTGAACCCAAACCGGGCAGATTTAATGTCAGTAACGCTACTGGGGGTCAAAATCCTCTTTCCGCATAATCCTTTCGCGACGTACTGCCAGGTAAACCGTTATGAAGCACATAAAACTAGTTATGATAAGAAGCTTGAAGTAATATTTCCCCGGAATGAATTTAAAGCAGGCATAGACAGCAGAATTTATTGGAACCAGTAAATTTTGCGACGGCTTATCAACTGCAGTCTGTCGTTGCATAACGCAGATAACAAGTGAGAAAGATACAGAAGTTTAACCTTTCAGAGAGAAAATGAATGTAAAACATCAAGGTCATCGTATTCTGCACGTAGATTGGTCAACAAAATGGTAACTTGAAAACGCAACATAGGAAGGGAAATGGGGAAGTTAACGCGCCTCAAAACAGCCCTGCCTAAACGGGAATATCCAACACGATTCATCGAATAGTATAGCAACAGTTTACGGCCAAAATTGACGGAGAAATCGGTTCTGAAAAAGCCCGTTGTAATATCTTCACCCTTTAAGGGTGACAACATCTCTAATACCATCAAGCGGCGATTCAGATGCACTATTGACAGAACTTACAACTCAGCTGAACTCATCTTCTGCAGCCTTACTAAGGCTATCCAATTTCCACGGGCGAAGGATGCCTTGCCATTGCACGCCACGTCAAATTTTGTTTATGAATTAACATGCACTTGTGGAGGCAAGTACATTGGGCGAACGCAAAGGCAACTGGCAGCCAGGACAGCTGAACATCGGCCTAAATGGCTTCTAAAGCAGGCGAATAAGATTCCACGGTCTTTTATTACAAAACACCTCCTTGAGAGCGGTCATTTGGTTGACCCCAAAACACCTTTTCGAGTATTAGTTCGAGCACGAACAACTCGGTTACTGCGCCACCTGGAGGCAGCCCACATATGGCGAGAAAAACCCGACCTATGTAAACAGTTAGACAATGTGGTCAACCACAGCTTGCCCTGGTAGATCTGAACACTTTTGATTTACGAAAACCCTCGGCGTGTCAACTTTCCCATTTTCTTTCCTATGTTGCGTTTTGAAGTTATCATTCTGTTGATTAGTCTACGTGCAGTATACGATGACCTTGCTGTTTTGCACGGATTTTCTCTGTCGAAGTTCAAACCTCTGTATCTTTCTCACTTGTTATCTCTGTTATGCAACGACAGGCTGCAGTTGATAAGCCGTCGCGAAATGTACTGGTTTCAATAAATTCTGCTGTCTATGCCTGCTTTAAGATAAGAAGGTAGGCTTTTGACCAACCACCCAGAGGGGGGGGGGTTACATATCCTACCCTTACCAAATTAAGTTAAATTTAGCGCATATTGATAGCTTTTTGAACCTTTCCTCTAAAAAATCTGAGACAACTAATGGACCCTTACCCCATCTGGTTTCAGTTTTAATGGAAAAGGCCACGACTGCAGTTAGCTATTTAACTAAATGTGTCGAATGTCAATTGTTAACGCGATGATCAGAACCGAACTTCAAATAAACCATTGAGATTGAATAAGGAGTCTTCCTGACAACTTCTGCATGTGGCAGGCGCTGAGAATTGCCCATTTACTCTGCATAGCCCGCTGTTTCTTTTGTTAACCATGAATGAACTACCGGACGTCGTACGGAAATAGTTGTCCGCCAGCTGTTTACTTAGCTTTCTTCCTACCTGATTGGCAACCTGCAGATGGACAGTAATCCAACAGAAAGCCGACCGATAATGAGGAAGTGTGGTAGAAGTTAGAAGAAAGTCCTTTTTTCGTTGAGACTTTAACAAAAATGTGTAAATGCGACTTAAGAATCGGGCCTGACGACGAAGAACTTTCGTGTCAAAGTTGCGTAGATTCTAGGTAGAATAGTTAATTCAGAAAACCGCTTTAAAAAATAGATCTAATTCGGTTCCCGGAAGCTCCATGCTAATCATCCAGCTGAGCTCATTCCAAGCTTACAGTGAGGCGTAAATTTAAATAACCGCTGATGAAACTATAGCATACGGGTACTTGGCTTTAATATGCAATTCACTGTCCTGTCTCAAGCGTTTCTTGGCCTCGCGCTGATTGTTGTCAAAAGCAAGATCAACTTACGCTGAACGCAAATTTGTCTCAAAACTGGCTTTCGGAAGTATAAATAATTGATTCCGTTTGATGCGACTTTTGCCGTAGATGAGCTAATTGCACTCACTCGTCCTCATTCTGGAGCAAGGAGATCTGCCATTGGTTAATAAATGGCGCACTGCATAGTTAATTCCCGAGCCTCCAGCTATTTCGTGGTCGAAATTAGAAGTTTCTGGATCTTAAACGAGCCTTTGGTGGTTCGCCAACCATATTAGGGAGACTTGCACAGCATCGATTCCACTATGTCCTTCCCCCGCGCTGTCTCCTCGCCCCACCGTCATTACATCGCCATTTAGTGATGCATTTGTTGCAAGACTACTAGCCGTGAAATGGGTCATTGTAGCTGGCATTACAAGTACGTGTATGTGAGGCAAAATCGGCAAGATGTGGTTATGTAGCCGCACCTGATGGACGCAATAATTTTGACCTCCTTAATTATTTGACGTTGGTGTGATTACGTTTGCATGGTGTTGCTGTGCGTTGCGGTGTATGTTCTGTTGGCGGTCTTGTTTCATTGTTGCCGTGTCTACATTTTTCAACTCAATGCCGGTGGTCCTTCTTGACCTTCGACCTGTCGTTTCCTTCTAACTTTCGCGTTGGATGTTTCACAGTTAGGGTTTAGGGCTGCGGTTAAGGGTTAGGGCTAGGGTTAAAGCTTATGCTTCGGGTTGATGTTATGGTAAGGGGTTAAGGCTTATGGTTAGGGGTTTGGGCTAGAGGTTAGGATTAGGAGTTATGGCTTAGGGTTGGGGATGGGGGTCATTGCTAGGGTTTAGGGTAAGGGTCAGGGGTTAGGGTTAGGAATTATAACTAGGGGTTAGGGTTAGGAATTATAACTAGGGGTTAGGTTAAAGGGTTAGGATGAGGGTTACGTGTTAGGGCAACTATTTCTTAACCACTCAAAGTTCAACCGCGCATTCCCAATAGCTTTTATTTTGCATACAATTACTTGACCTCGCCGCCTGTGCGTTTCCCGGCCCCACCTGTAAAAACTCCTATTAACGCCGGTCCCGTATTACAGGCGACTGGGCTTTGTTTACCTCAGACGGGGTTACATAACTGCACCTGACCTAGGCTTTTTGAGAACAGTGATAGTTTACTGTAAAGCCGATATACAATTGGCCCGATATATGCTACTACCAACTCAAATTCACGTTTTCTACACGAATTCCGAGGGTTTTTATTTATAGAACTAAACTGCATTTTGCAAACTGCTAGTGCATTTACGCAGAAAGCATCACTGTAGGTAATGGCGTGAGCTGCCTGAGAAGTTTAAAAAACGATTTGGCGACCGGCTGAGTGGTACTTAGGGGGGATTAACGCGAGCAAACTGCAAGCGTTCATCTGGTCCAGAGTACCGTTCGTTAGAGCAATCCTCATGCACTTGAGTTATGCTCGGACTACTTTACTCTAGGGTGCATTTTGAAATTAAAAAAAAACTCAATCTTGACGCCGAGCCAGCTTCGCACGTTTCCTCGTCCGCGACATACATTTTTGCTGCGGTTTTCCTCTGATTTGGAGCAGAATGTACATTTTTAGGGGGTTTTACTACATCACCTGATTTTGTTTAATGCCCTACTTTCAAGGACTTCATGAGCGCCAATGCGCTCTGTTCAAGCAGTATGAACTGAAAAAAGGCAGCATTTTCCTTTTATTTGTAAAAAATTGGGCTTCTTCACATTCGAGCTAATTACCAACTTCATGGAAAACTGAATTTGAGTTCTGTTGCGTGAGGCGATTGTCCACTCGCTTAATATTATATAGAAAAAAAAACAAGTAGATTCCAGTCATTTCAGCTCGGCGAAACCATGCATTCACTTCTCCGACTAGTCATTGCTCACCTGAAAAAACCCGCTAATGGAAATTTATTCACCAAAATGTCACCAATCATATTTTGGTAACGTAAATCCATCAAGCACCGTCCAGCGACTTGCTGGGCTAACTCGGCCACAAATGAGTGTTAAATGGGACACTGACATGTCAGATAATTATACCTTTTTTCCACGGAGTTCGGCTCTTCTTTTTTACCCACCTTTAGTAGCCCCATCGGTGGAGTATGACGGTACTTTGACCACGTTGTTTGGGCCATGCTGATCAATAGTACTATCCCACGCAAGTAATACATTCCAGGCGAAAACACATTTTAAAATTTTGGTCAAAATTTCATGACATAAGCCAACTGATGTATGAGATGAGAGATATCCGTTGCGAGGAGTTGGGACTGTCTTGTCTGAGGCCAAGTCCGTGTACATCAGTCGACAGTAGCGGCAATAATGTCCTCGAGTTCTCGCTAGCTTTCCACGTCCTTCTGGGGAACGACTGGCCGAACGGATGCCGGTCTACGCAGATCTTGGTTACCATTACAATATCGTGACCTGTCAACAGACGCCCGGAGGTCACGCAATTCATGCAAAAATTCCCGGATTTTGATGAGGATGTCGTTCCTACTCCGGCCGTTTTGCAAAACCCTAACACGAGACCGGGAACCGCACGATCTGCTTCACATCGGGTACTTGTGACCTGCGTATTAGTCTGCACATTTAAAACAGTTCAATTTTATATTATTTAATCATAAAGGTGGTTGTCTCCGTGTCAGTATCAAAACTTGAGAATACAATTTATTTGGTCGACCGCCACTTACTTGGGACAAATGCGATAGAGTACAGACAGATGGCGTGTATGCAAACTAATTCAGCCAACAGGACCATCCTTTTTGCGTACTTAGGCCGAGCGCAAGGGGACAGGTTGTCGTTGAGAGAAGAAACTGGGTGGTCTTCTGGTCGCAAGTCCAGCCAAGTCGGCCGATGCTAGGGGCCACACACAGGTTGGCGGTTCGTGAACACCTTCAACGCAAGCGCCAACGCTGACTGAGCAGATTCTGGATGATGGTAGGGCGGCGCGCGTTGGAGATCTGAGGTTTGGTCTCAGCTGACTGATAGCCCTCCCACCATGCCACAAGACAAGATGTACCGCTGGCCGAAAGAGCTGCCAATCTGAGCCGACTTAAAACTTACGGCCGGGCAGCGACAAGCGAACAGAGATCTGCCATCCGTAGCACTGCAGACGAAAATGGAAGCTCTAAAAGCACTGCAGTCTTTGTATCTTGGGAGTGTTAGCATGCCGCCATCGGCTTTCAAGGACAAAGAAAGTTAGTGCAAGAGCCGGCAACGGTAGGGGGTAGGACCCACAAGTAGATGACAACTACAAAAATACGCCCCAAAATTCTGTGTGACTGTGAACATCACTTATTATTCGGCGTTCCCACTGTTTGAAATTTCCTTCCCTTTCTGGCTTAAGGTAAACTTACCAGCGGAGCTTTATGCAAAGTCCGTTATTTCTTGAAAATTGCGCTTTGTTTATTTGTTAATTATCGCGCTCACATTCTTTGCCAAATGACAGCGTACGATAAAACTTTCGACAGTAATTTATCGATTTTCTGTGTCTTCCTGTTCTCCGTCCTGTGGGTTGCTCCACCCGTAAAACCCCCTCCATCAGCATCAACGGGCTAACTCAAGTTAGTTGTGAGTCCAACACCCTACCGTTGTCTAAGAGCCGCTGGCCAACGGGCAGCGTGGCTTCCCTGAAAATAGGCAGGGGCTGTGACGAGATAATCCAAAATCTTCCCCAAATTTTCATATCTATGTAATATGTGCGTTTATGCTGGAGTGAGATGGTTTCCGGAATAAATTATTCGGCATTTAATTATTTAATCGTAGACTGTCTTCTTCTTTTCAACAACTGGTCATTTGAAAAGTCAAGTTGGCAAACACGTGTTTTCGGTAATTCTTCGTCAGGCCAATACAGTTACAGGAAGGGATGAAAATGTACAAAAGTAACAGTGTTTATAAGTGTCTCAAGGGCTATTAAGTCACTAGCCCTCATCTTCCCCACGCCGCCCGCATGACGAGGTCGGCGGTTTTTGGTCCTTAGAGCTGGGGGAGGGGGCAAGAGAGTCTTTAAGTGATGTTCTTGGATTGAGTACACAGAGTACCCATCACTGTAATTAGGGATTTGAGGCGGCATGTCGTCATCACTTGGGGTTGGGGTTGGCCACGGCAGGGAGAGCGTTTGTGTCAGGGTTTTCTCACAACATAACACCGGATTCGCTAGCCGTATAGTCACTGCCTCGGCCGTTGCTAGTATCCGTTGGCGTAGGCCTTCAGAGAAGCTTGTTGGTGTCCGATAGACAACCTGAAATGCTTCCTTAGCATCGACTCGGTGATCAGAACGCATTGCAAAGCCCACTGTTGCGACTGTAAAAAAGAAAGATGTATTCATAAGACTGCCTTTTGCAGGGGACGCAGCGAGCGAACTAGTCAGACGGCGCTTAGCTGCAGCCATCACGAGAGCATACTCCGCGGCGAATTTACGCGTATGTTTCACAAACTCTCCCATCCTACGTTTGGGAGGGAAAGACAGACTACCGTTGGAGGCCACATCAATGTGCATCTACTCATTCACTTGCTCCTGTGGAGCGGGATACATCGGCCGTACAACGAGACGCCTGGTAAAGAGGGTGCGTGAATATATGCCAGTCTGGCTAGACAGAGGTGAGACCCGATCGATTTCGAGTTTTATTCTCGCACATTTAATCGATACGGATCACCGAGTCAAGGCCAAGGAAGCATTTCAGGTAGTCTATCGGACACCAACAAGCTTCACTAAAGGCCTACGCCAACAGATACTAGCAACGGCTGAGACAGTGGCTATACGGCTAACGAATCCGGTGCTATGCTGTCAGAAAACCCTAACACACGCGCTCTCTCTGCCGTGTCCAACGCCAACCCCAAGCGATGGCGACATGCCGCCTCAACTCCCTCATAACAGTGATGATTACTTCGTGTACTCAATCCAAGAACATCACTCAAAGACTCTCTTACCCCCATCTCCCAGCTCTACTACCCAAAACCCGCCGACCTCGTCATGCGGGCGGCGTGGGTAAGATGAGTGCTAGAGACTTAATAGCCCTTGAGACACCTATAAACACCGTTAGTTTTGTACATTTTCATCCCTTCCTGTAACTGTATTGGTCTGACGAAGAATTACCGAAAACACGTTTTTGTCAACTTGACTTTTTAAGTCTAACATGGGAATATTGGCGGAACTTAGACAATCCAAATTATCATTTGTTAACTTTCATAACGTTTTATGCTATTGTTTTGAGTTTGGGCACTAAAACTCTATTATGATCTTTTGACAGCTTCGGATACTTGGGTCAGAACGATTGGAGCCCGACATAGCTTGATCCATCGAAACCCGCTGTATGATGGCTCAGCAGTTTTGATGGATAAATCGACTGATTCAGCGAACTCACAGGAGTACATAGAGCATGCGTATAAAAACGCCGTATCACAAGTGACCTTGCGATAAATTCCAGGAGCGTCAAAGTTAGGGTTACGTCTTGGATGGTTTGAGTACGAAATAGGAACCCCGGCGGAGTCCAGAGCAACACCAGCCGTAGTACGATGGGGATCCTGGCCAGATGTAATAAGGGACCTGTAATAAGGGACCGCTGATAATAGGGGCTTTTACAGGTGGGGCTGGGGAACGCACGGGCGACGAGGTCAAGTAGTTGTATACAAAAGAAAAGCTATTGGGAATGTTCGGTTGTACTTTGAGTAGTTGAAAAATAGTTGCCCTAAGCCCCAACCCTGACCCCTATTTCTAACCCAAACCTCTAACCGTAACCCCTAACCCTCACTTCTAGCCTAATCGCAACCCCAACAGTATTGTGTCCATTAGGTGGGGCTACATAACCACATCTTACCCGGATTATCCTTATTACCGTGTCCAGTTTAGGAGCATAACATGACAGTTTGAACATCTATGCAGAGAAGGCGAAATTTCGAGTAGTGTATCGCATTCGGTGTCAAAAGTGTCCTTGTAACTACACAGTGCAGATCGGACGCATGCTCGGATCGCGCATACACGAACGTAAGCTGGCTGTTCGACGAGGCGACACATCATCAAAAGTGTCCGCCCACACCTACGAAATGGGTCACGAGTTTAACTTCGCAGCCAACAAGAAAGTCGCCCACGCCGGAAACAAGACAGGCCGAAAATTGATTGAAACCTGGGCCTCGGATGAGAACTTGGTCAGTCGATTTCTCGATCTGGTGCCGGCGTACAGAGCCCTGCGCAGTCACCTGCGGTCCTGCGCAGTCGGTCGAGGCTTGACCTAAAGGCTTTATAACTGTCGCTTGTTCTGTTGCTGCTACCAACTCTGACGACGGACTCCTGTACGGGTCTGAAAGCTCAGGACAATAAACACAGTGTTTCGGTGCTCGACTCTTCTTCTTCACTTATATATGCAGTATCGAAGTAGCCGCGATTAGTTTCCTTGTAGGGCTGGTCCGCAACTCATGAAGACGAAACCTCCAGACTCTGCAGCCAGGCCAGTATAGTTGTCGTTTACCGGGCCTTGTCTGGAGTAAAAGTCGTTCAGCTCTGCTGCACTGCATACTTTAGATCATGATGGTATTTTGTCCTTGTCAAGGTAATCCTTGCGGAACACAAGAACACCGATGAGGTCTACGCCGTGAAGGTGCTGAAGAAGGATATTGTCATCCAGGAGGACGACATCGAGTGTACAATGATCGAGAAGCGTGTTTTGGCCCTGCAACAGAAGCCGCCTTTCCTCGTACAACTGCATTCCTGCTTTCAGACGATGGTAAGTCACTCCACTTACTTATTAATTTGAGCTATTGGTCATTGAACGTCTTCTCCTGCTCGTTTGGTAACTGGCTCGACGGCGAGTCTCCATCTTGGCGAGGGATACAGCGGTGCCACTGGCATTGATTAGAAGTCAGATTGAAAACAGCGGTACAGACGCGAGCAGAAAAACGCAACACCACCCCCGTCAGCACGTGTTACTACCTATATGTCACGTGTTCTTGGGTCTTAAGGTTTGTGATCGTCTGCTATGCTATGCTTCAGCAAACTTTGGCCCTCGCAGCTTGATGTGAGCTAGCGGTTCTCTGGCATCTGGTTACCTGCCGGTAGATGTGCTAGCGCCCCCGCTGGGTATACAGGTCGTAAGCATGGCTGTCCAGTCATCCTCGTCCGTTTGACACGTTGTTGTTGGTTAAAATCCTGATGACGTGTTTGTTGTAGACCAGGGTGTGTGGAGTGGGGCGAGTGTGGGTTCGGCCGCGCCATCCAATTGCTCCTCACCCAACTCCGGTCTTCTTGACTATGTCCTGACATTGGGCCCAGGTGGGGGGGAGGAGGGGGGAGTGCCGTAGATGCCGCGCAAGTCACAGGACCTGCTTCACCTTGCTGTGGAGCACACAGTGGACATCTTCGGCATCGACAAGAAGGAAATTCAACAGTGGGTGGGCTAATAGAAGCGAAGAGAATAGCTCCAGGAAGTATTCTTGTAGCGATCGTGTCTCCTTCAAGTGGATGGGCTGTTCACGCTGACTGTCGAATAACCGTGGTGTTCCAGAGTCACCTTCAGAGCAAAAACTAACTCCTCTCTTCCCTACGATGATGTACACCACTATCGTTCACCCGTAGGGCACGGCGGGACGAGAGACTTCCACAAGATCGATCAGTGAGCGCCCCTCTACCAATGCATGTGACATTTTTAACCATATTACCCAGCGTGCTACTGCCTTCATGGCGGTCGTGCCATCACCGATACAAGTAGTTCTGATGTCTAGTCTTCTTCGTTATGAGTAGTTCAGTAAAATTTGTGGTATTTTATTTCAAACACTCAGATGTGTTTCACTGAGAAAATAGCAAGTAGAGTCCGGTTGTCAACTGACGGGATATCTCGGTCCTTAGTTTGTGGGATTGGAGGACTGTGGATCAGACATCTGTGGCACTCTTACTGTTGTGAGATCTGAGCCGCCCTTCTTGTAGCCAGGCACCTCTGGAGTGCGGGCCGGGTAACGTGTGTGACACGCGTAGACGGGCTGTGCAGTTTTTCGGTCACCCCCCACCACCGGCCGTTTTCATCCTATCTTAGCGATGTTGGATGGGGTAGGGGAGAGTGCGGTAGATACTGCGCAAGTCTGCACCAATATAGACTGATCTAACCTCCAGTCACCGATGCTGCTTCCGTTCCGTGGAGCGCGCGATATTCTCGTGAAATGCACTTTTCCTCGCAGGAAAACACCTCGGTTCGTCGACACTTCCCCTCGCCCAGGATGATTTTGGGTGCAAAAGTTGCGCTGCACCGTTAATGCGTGATAAATCAAGTGCGATTTGTTAAATTTGGATTTAGAGACGAGCACACCTTTGCTCTAGTCTTTTCTTCTTTAAAAACATGGTCAAAAACGGTCTCAATCAAAGTCAGAAACGGTCCCCGATAACTGACGGGTGAGTTTACTAGCCCGTAGGCGGCCTGTCTAGCCGCTGCACGCGCGCCCATCTCCGGCCTCTTGGACACCGTCTTGCCATCAGATCAAGTCCGATGGGGAGAAGAGAGTGCGATAGATGCTGTGCAAGTTCTCTTCAGTGTAGACAGTCACACGCAGGTAACCAGTGTTGTCACCACTCCATGGGACACTTGGTGGACGCTGGCGCGTGCGACGATCGGAATGGGAAGTCACGTGACAGTATCGACGAGGTGGAGGCGCCGTCTGACATTGCGACTGTGTCAAGGTCATCGCAGCCACGTCCAACAAGCCTGCACCACAATTTGTATCTGCCTTACTTAATTCGTACAGCATGCGCACTAGGTCATGAGGTACTGCTTTTTTTGTTTCACATGGAAACTTTTAAGACCGCTTATTTCAAAAGGATCACAGAAATCGAGAGCACACATTGTTACTACATTAACACTTAGTACCCTGTGCTTCCGCTCATTGTGAGTTCAGTTGCACAGGAATGTTGACTTGCGTGTAAAGTAGTTTATACTGATAGTGGGCTTGCGCAACATCTACCGCACCCCTCCTCCTCCCCCCTGCTCCCCCACTTGGACCCGATGTCAAGACAGAGTTAAGAGTACCGAGAGAACGGTACCGAGAGAGTACCGGTAGAGAACGCATATAGTTGGTAGGGCGTAAACCCGCACACAGTCGTGCGAGCACACCTCCTGGTCCACAAGGTACATTGACCAGAATTTTGAACAACAAGAGAATAGGGGGGGGGGGCGGCTTGGGTCCCACTAGGCCATAGAGACCACAGAAATAAGAAGCCATTGCAGCATGACGTTTAGACTACCAGTCGGCCCCCTCACACAAACACACAACACTGGGCTGACTGCGAGGTCCGGCTTATCACGTTAGTTGGAAACCATCCAAGCCACGGCTTTTAACGCACCGTGATAGCTTCAAGCCTATCGGGTCGTTCATAATGAGGAAAATACGCTCAGACATCGACGCCACTCTCTATTCCTACTTCCAGGCCCCAGCCACTAGCCGAGTCGGTCAGTTGTCTGGTGCGGGGAATGCGCTCGGTGGCTTACATAGCTAGTGACTCAACTGCTTCCCTTAGCAGTTTCCAGTTAGATTTCATCTGCTAATTTCTGTGCGAAAGCTGACATTCCTTTGCGCTACCATTTGGTAACAATTTCTGCCGAGCGGACTTGAAAATAAATCCTGCACGCCACTCAGTTCGATAGTACCACTGAAAAATTCGCGAGCACAAGCCGCCGATGATGTTGAGAAAGTGACATTTTGGTCAAAAACAGCAATGTAATATTTTCTGACGGGACTTTACATTGAGCGCATACTCTGTATTAGAAGATGGATAAGTGCAATATCAACGGGCACTTTTTAAAGATGAAATAAAATGATCGCCTGTATCTACTAGACTACGTTTGATGACACTGACTCATCAATTTCATCTTTTTTTTCTGAGGAAAAGAAAAAGAGTACAAATTCTGCAAGTTACAGTTAACAGAAGAAAATAAAATTTCCAATATTCACTTCCCAATTTTTAAGGCTTTCCGTGTGTAAAACGGTCGTAGAATTTAGATCGAACCAACATGGGTCTCTTCCCTTTCGCAGCGAACATGGTCAGCATTCTTCAGTCCATTCCTCTGATTCCCTTAAAGTCGAAAATCTATGGACTCTTTCCTTCTCTTGGGAGAGAGTTAATTTGACAGCCTGTTTGCTCTCCTGCTTTACACTCGGAGAAGAGGTGAGATTTGAGGGGAAAAAGGGAGTCTCTCACGCAACTACCTCGTTTCCCAGTGTTCTTGCGTATGCTGTCGCACGTGCCAGAGGGTGTCTCAGTAGACTGACGAATGCGCACAAAATGTTACTGTTTTCTTCCTGGTCTCAGTGTCTGTCTCTACATCCTGCCCTGTTTCGCTCTGGGTGGAATTTCCTTCAGACGTCAGCAGTAAGTGAAGGGGAGGGGGAGGAAGGCAAGAAAGAATAATGCTCAGTAGCTTGTCCACCCCCCCCCTCCCACTGTCAGCTTGAGACCTAAGTGACTGTAATTACCGGGCTATTCTGACAGATCTAAGTTATTTTATCCTGCATACGCCCAACGGAATTTCGACAAACGTCTTTAATAAAAGACAGAATAATGCTTCTCTTATAACGTTAAGAATGCCTTCGTGTAGGTTGAAGCTGCTAATGCTTTTTTTAAAAACAGCCTTCCCTTCTCCGCAAGTCGGAAGCGCGGACCGCGTGTACGTTCCGTATGATATTGAGATGAAACAGGTCTTCTGGTTCGACCGCCGACGAACACAGTCGGCAAATTTTAGAATCCAAGGTAGAAAATCAGATGAAATGGCTACGCAGTTCCCGTCCAATCCCGGTGTCTTGTCGGTTAAGAACGGTTAGAGTTAATTTGACTTGAATTCCCATTCCTTAAGTCTAGAGACCTTACACAGGGCTCTGAGTATCCTTTCATCTGTGGACTGTACTAGAGACAAGCATTAACTGGGATCGAGAGACTGATTCCTCGCGTTGAAACTGTCCGTGGGGAGGTTTGAATATGTTACCTCTGATTGGACAAGAAATCATAAAATGTTTCAACAAATTGGTGATTTCCAGAATTCTTAGCAGAACTGTCCGCCGTGCGTTCCTTGTCGTTTTGTGATACTTTATTTCGTGGGTAATGCTCCATTTCGACGTTGCTGGCACTCAAGGCTTGGAACCTTCGTGTACCAAGTGCCTTCGTCTTAAAAATTTTCAATTTTATGCTCCTCAGCTCAGGTAATCACACCAATGCAGTGTGCCAGTTCCTCGCTTTGTTATCGCTTGCTTTATCCAAAGAGGCCAGCCTTCTCCGTATTGGTATTCAGAAAAATTTCAGGAAAGTTACCGTCTTTGGAAATGTTCTAACGAATATCCTGTTTTCGGTAGGACTGACGTGTATGACTCCCTTCCCCCTACACAGGACATGACATCAGGAACCGCCGAGCAATACATCTATAATTTACGAGATGACTACCAGTGAAATTAAAACGTGTTTTCAAATTTTTATGCCACGACTGCCCCTGCCGTTATACAGGCCAGTCGGCAAGGTAACACAGCTCGAGAGTTGGCAATAGTTGGCTGACTGCGGTCAATAAGTCAGAAATGGCCATCTCAGTTCCTTTCATATCCCATCCCGCAGCATGCCTCCTATCAGAGCTGTTCTTCTAAAAAAAAGCAAAAATAAAGTTGAGAATAAGGAGATGTGATCGGTGGAACAAGACCTAGCCGTCGTTTCGACTTCCTACTTGGGACCCATCATCAGAGACAGTATGACGTATGCACAAGAGGCGCAGTATTTGTAGGGTTCAATTGCTATGCCGCCACGTGCATGCTATAATTAGAAACTTTCGTGTGCAACGCCGGTGGTCGAATTGGTGTGACGATCGTTCGTTCGTCCGCATCCTAGCCGGTAATTGCTGCAACTTTGTCACTGGTGCTGTTTCGTGGCGTGATAACTACTCACCAGGACCTCACGTTCCCGCTTCTATCGCAAAAAGGAAGATATTATAATACACCGACATCTAATGCTTCTCAAGGTTTTAAGTGAAAAGTAGAAACGTCATGTGTGGCCTCGCATCCTCGTGGCGAGTCCTTTAAAATGCCGCATGTCACGTGCCAATCGATCGATTTTGCGTCTGCTAAGGCGCCCTCCTACACGCTGGCAACTCCAGGACGGCCCGGTTGAACGATGCTGCCGCCCATAAATAACGCCCTAAGTCGTTGTAAATCTGCCAGTAAAAGTAACAGTAAAGACTCTATTGTCGCACGCTTGCCTCGTGGCATTGTCCACTTGGGGGAGTTAACTACTCGCTTTCCGAAGAGTCTAACCTACACACAGATGCAGAAGTCAGGCTTCCTTCAAGTTCCCGAAATCATCATCCTCATCATGGACAGGATGGATAAGTGTTTGCCGCCGTTATCGGGTGTTTTGAATGGATGCCTACCGGAAACTGTGGACAAGTGTGAAGATATGCTCTCCACCTTGGTAAATGGTCAGGCCTTCCGTTCGCCCTTCTCTGTCCGTGCGCTCGATGAGGCCACTCCGGTGCAGCTGTGTGTTATGCTGAAACTCTTCCTTCTACGCCTGGAACTGCCACCCTTTCTGGCCTCCATGGAACTTTGTGACATTCTGCGCAAGGAGCCCTTTAAAGTGACCCCAAATATTGGCATGTGTAGGGCAGTGACATACGAAATACTCTCGAAGGAATTAAAGGGCAGTCTGGTGCACTCCTCTCCAGCCCAGACGGCCACCTTTGCCTACATGATGGAAAGATTCCAGCGTTGGTGTCACGAAGAGGTCGCCTTCCGACTCAAGCACGGAGACACCACGGTTGATAGGGCCCAGGTGTTTGAAGACGCCGTCAACCTTCTGACGCACATCTTTGGTCACTGTCTGGTGGGGTTGGATCGTTCTTATCTGGCGGCATTGGTATTTAATAAAGTGGAAAATTATTCACCGGAACAAATCAGACATACCATTCTTCGGCTATGTCTGGGCTATATTGTAACCCGCTTCTGGCATGATATCTCGCTCTACGGCATTCTGGAGTCGAACCAGGGTCTGGTGACGAAAGCCGTTTCTATTTTAAACACGGATTCATCTCTGGGAGGACACCGACCACACAAGTTGGCTTTGCATCATTGATACCGTCTTTCAGCGGATCCCTCCCATTATTGCCACGGCAGTATGCCTGCAAAATAGGCAACTGTAAAACTGTAAATGACAAACAAGTTGCGTCTCACTATTCCTGTAGGCTAGATTTGGCCTCGAGGTTGTACCCACCGATCCCGGCATCATTCGTTATCTGCTGGATCGCAGACCGAATGATACTCAACACAGGTCAGTTTGTTGACTGTCTTCATTACATCAATGGTGCGTAAGAAGTTACTGGAGGCCCTAACTCCTAATGCATAGGGTGTCTTTTTGTAGGCTACAACTTGAGATTTCGACAAGGTTCAATCGCCTCAGTTGCATACGTGCACTGCCCTAACGATAAGGCTTGCAAAATCAGGTGAAAAGTTTGACTAGAGTAATAACTAAGTACGTACTTTGTGTCAGGACTTGTAATGCTTCTAACCCTCTCAAAAACTTCGTACAGAAGAAGTCAGTAAACTAAACTTTAAGGTCGTATGCGCACACTGTTAAGCATACTGGAGGTTATTTTTTAGCCACATATGATGACAGTCCGTTTGGCACTTTTAGTTTGTATAGTTTGAAACCTGAGTGTCAGAGCGTTAGTCTGTTTCCCAGACTGTGTTTTTATTTGGTAATCAGGACATCCCCCCGCCCCAAGAAAAAACCCTGAAGTTGTGGTTGATGGAAATTACATGCCTTGCACGCGTACATGATTAGAGCATCGCGATTGTCACTTTCTCAAAAAAGTGACTCGCATTTGACGAAGTCCGCAGTGAGGACGCAGCCCTGCAAGTTTAGTCCTTCTATTTTTTTGCGGGGTAATCTGTGCAACCACCATGGACGGTCACCATTTAACAAATTTACTGCGATAGGAAAACGAAGTTTCAAATAATTACCACGCGTCTGCCAGCATAAAAACGAAGTGGGGCTTTTCCCTCACACACTCCAGGCAATTAGAAGCATTGTCTTCGGGTTCGGTAGGGTGGCATCCAAAATTCACTTGGCTAGATTAATGGCACTTTTTCTGAAGATCAACCTGTAGGGACGCCACTAAGTATGCTTATTTTTGTGTTAGGGAGAGATTAGAAGGGAAATTTGTGGAAGCCTTTAGGTGAAGAGGGGAGAAGAGAAAGAGAGGGGAGGCGGGAATTAGTGAAGCTGCATTGTCCAGCCCTCTCCGTTGTATTGACCAGCAATTAATCACTGAGAGGACGCGGGAGCTCCAAACACCGCCCATGGACGTGATGTTTGCTCTCTTTATCTGTCAGATGGACGGAAACTCCCTACATCGGGTACAGAAAATACTACGCCTCGTGGTAAGACAAACTTAACATGACCTAGTAAAATGCCGCAGTCGCCTGAAAGTAATTACCCTCGTATCTGTGCTAGAGTGACTGCGTGATAACGTTATGGAAGTTGAAGGCTTTATAAACCGAATATTTACCGGGAACTGGATAATTACAAAAGGTTTCGTGTCCTACTTGTCTATATGCCTTGTCCGTGAAGATCGAAACCTCTTTCCCTGGGTTAGCTGACTGCGTAAACATGACGACTTGATGTTACGCTTCAATAACTGGTGAAACAATTGGGTGAGTACGTCATGCGAATTTCGAATTAGTGTCCGCAGATGCTGGTCGTCGACGAAGGGAGAATAAAACGCCTAAAGACGTCTTCAAACCCTCACCCAATGATGTCCGGCGGAATTAGTGGTCCTAGGATACCCTCCTACCGGACTGATATACGTGATGAATGACAGAAGAACCATCTCAGGATACAGAAAACCACGGGGAACCCTAAAGAGTGCCAAACTGGAGCAACTTTCCTACAGACAACCCCTCTCTGCCTGTTTCTACTGCTGACTTATATTCAGGGCTCGAGTTGGTCCGTCAGGATGTCTTCGCATGTATCGCAGCCACAACAGCAGTACTAATACCGGTATCCATACTAGAGCTAGAGACAGGGCAAACCTCCAACTGTTCCCCGTCCGCACGTAATCTAAACAAACATTTGAAGTCACAAGTACGTTTTCGTCAATCCCGCCTCTCGGGATGGTTCTGCTGTCCCTGATCAAACCGCCCCAACACGGCCTCAGGCCATGGAAACCATTCCAACAAGGAGAGGATCACATCGATACGCCTACCAGTGCTGCGTTTGTGCCTCGAATGTGGAATCTGCTGGATGAAGGGTTCGATTTAACAACTCACGTGCTGTGCTTCAATCTACGAATCTCCTATTTTCGCCTACTGTCACTATCTCTCACCCGGACCTGTTTAGCGTGTTCGATATCCAATCAGACTGCTCATTCCCGGATTGCTAATGCCAGTTCGACCACCGGTTCCGACGATGTCCACCGTGTGCTTCGCAGCAGGGTCAGAGCAGAGAGTACGGTAGCTTGCGCGCCAATTAGTTTATTAATGACAGTGGACTTGCGAAGCATCTACTGCACTGTCTCCTCATCCCCCCTGCACTGGGCCTGGTGTCACGACCAAGTCAAGAAGACCGGAGGCAGGTCGCAGGTAGCTGGAACGGCGAGAACCTGCGCCAAGGCGTGCCACCATACCTCCTGGTCCACAACTGACACTAATCAGAATGTTGAGCAAGAACGAAATTGGGAAGACGGTATGGATCGCAGTTGAAAAGTGGTGAACCCGGCAACTGGGTCTGCCACCGCACCCCGAATGCGCATGCCTGATAACGCTCACCGGACTCCGATCTACCTCCCTCCCCCCGCCTGTGTTGGTCAAACGCATTTAACGCGTGGTCCGTTTTAGGAGCAAATGCCGTTTCCTAACAAAAAACTACAACGCCACTCCGCTCTGTTGCCCTTTCGATACACACTTGGAGCTAGTTGGAATCAAATTTCACAATTCCAGAGCTCTCATTAAACGACCGCGTGCACGAACCCGGAACCGGATTTTGAGGGGGACAAGGAACTTGCATATTTGACCTGTACTTAGGTCTGATCGATTAACCCCTATCAAGCAGGACTCTGGGTATGCCCGGTCAAACTTGATGGAGTGTGAGTCCATGATTCAGCCCTCACACTAAAGCCAATCTCAGGCCGGTGAATGTGGACATCGTCGATTAGGAGAGGCGTATTGTAACTTAAGGCTCCGTTCAAAGAACGGATTATCACCTTACTCGAGTGCCTTTTTAATTGGATTCTTTAGGCGCCGGAAAAGTGCCCTTAATAAGGACAAATAGACCGAGTTGGTCGTTTGTGGCCTATTTACCGTTGTCATCCATTCAGGCTCCTGGCTGCTGACTGAAACGTCACAAGAGCTGGAGGAAGGAGGGGTTTTCGTCCGCAATACTCGACGACCATCTCTTGTTCGTCACAACTGCATGCAACGGCTCTAGATTTGAAGTCAAAGTAAAAAAGGAACCTACCTATTGATTCTGTAATTAGGTCTAATCGGTGAACTCAAACCAAGCAGGACTTTGGGTATTCGTTATCAAAGTTGACGGAATGTGAGCCCATGATTCGGAGAGCAGATTGCTACTCTTGGTGACTAGAAAGAGTCGAGTTAGTCTTATATCTTTTTGATCTGTGGTTGGGGTGCATGGCTGTTTGATGACGTCGGATAAACTAGCCGCAAACACTACCCTCCCGCTTATCTTACTTTTGGAAGCCCTAAATACTGGAGTTGGCATTGCTATGTTGGATGTCGACTAGGCCTGACGCTATCTTTGTATAGGACGCTTTTAGTAAGTCATATTTCCTTTGACAGGATAGACATATATTTCATTTTTATCTTACAGTCAACAGTCTATTCCCTACTTCTGTTAAACGCAGTTGGTCGCGTAAAGTGCGCAAACCCCATACGGACCATCGTCCACTAATTAATGCTTTTATCGTTTAGGATCGTGATGCCTGGAAGCCTACGTTGAAAAAAATTAAACATGAACTATGCGAAATTTTACCCAGCTGCTCCATAAAGTCGTCCTTGAAAACCAACGTAACGGCTTGTAAAACACCTCGCCTTGTACCTAATAATGTCTCCCAGTCTCTGCACAACACGGAGGTTGGAGAATGAGGAACCGGCTCATGCCTCCAGCACTTCATTGATCCTGCAATGTAAAACCTGTCCTCTACATTAGAGGTTTTGTAACATAACGACTTCACCTTGTGTTCACCCCCTGGCTTTCCATCCTCAATTATTTCTTTTTACGTTACACGTGTAAAGATATACCGGTGGCGATTATTGCTTGAAAGTGTGAGCAAACGCAATCAACAGAGCCCATCATTACTTTCAGAGTTAAAATCATTGTCGTTCTCGCACCTTTCGCCTGCACGAGATTACAGATCACAAAATGCCCTCATTGACTGTGACGTGGCATTAAAGTATGCCCTAAATTACTACATATTTTTTATTTAATATCTGGCTGATTCACGGTAATAATTTGCGAATGTAATCGACTGTTGGCATCCAAGGTATGTGTATGAGTGAGAAGGAAGGCAATGGGTCGAGCATCCGAACCATTTTTTTGTTTTTTGAGCCTTCGAACTCTTGCAGGAGTCCATCCCCAGAGGTGCCAGCAGCAATAACAGACCGGGCAGCAGTTGTAGGGCGATCATTAGCCAATCATCGATCAGCGACGCATGCCCGGAGATGCAAGCGCCTGATCGATACATTGATTAAATAACTTCTCATCCGAGCCTCAGGCTTCAGTCGATTCTCAGCTTGTCTTGTTTTCGGCTAAGGCTATTATCTTGGTGGCTACGAAGTTGAACTTGTGATCCGTTTCGTAGGTGTGCGCAGTCATTTGTGAAAATTTGCCACAATGCCAGCTTATGTTCGTGAATGTGTGATGAGGGCATGCGCTCAGTGTGACATACGTATTTGAAAAGGATATTTTACTCATAGGATACGATACGCTACACCAACATGTTCGCTAGGACTTAATCTGCCCTGCATTTTCCTGATCGAACTGCGCGCGACCGAGTTGGGTCAATGCGCAATGCGAACACCTAATTCCGCAACAATGCACTCCGACGGCTCTGAAAC